AACTTAAAACAATCTTCACATAAACCCATTATAATAAATGTCATATTTACCTGTGCCCTTCAGCAGAAATATACAGAAATTGAAATGGAAGTTATCAAACACTAAATTCTAAATTAAAAATAGATGAATCCTTAAAGCTATAAAAGTAAGTTTTTCCCCTCTTTTTTCTTTGTCCTTTGATTAATAGACATCACAGTAGCTGGTTATTAGGTTGTTTTGGCTGTTATTTCTATAAGAGCTGCTGCTGCTGAATGTGACGCGAATCTGACACGCATCATATTTTCTCTCAACTCTTTTTACCTTTTCTGACCCACTTCAGGTCTTAAAGTCTCTATTAATGAGCTGACGAGTTAAATCGGGTGTGTTAGATGAGTGAGATCATTTCAGAGACATGTTCTTAAATGTGACTCATATAAAATATATTACACGCATGCACAGTGTTAATGCAGCTTTAATCGCATTTTTGGTAACTTCCATGATTTAACTGACCACGGCATTGCATGCATGTAGTTTATTTTGCGCTTTGATATGAAAGGATACAAGCTACAGCATGCACCGGCGTCTTTGTGCGTGCAATTGAAGAGCACGTACCGTTTTCGCATTCGCTTGACTCGCGCTTGGCACTGAGGTGAAGTGGAGCGTGCGTCTGAAACGTCTCCCGTCATTCTGCGACTGAATAAATGCACTTCTTGTCAAGAGACAAATTTACAGAAGCAGCAGTTGTGAGTGGCGTGGCCAACCCTAGCCCCGCAACTGCGCTAATTGAGTTAAATATTTTTAACGCGTTAAACTGAAAAAATTAATTGCCTGCGTTAGCACGCTAATTTTGACACCACTAATATATATATATATATACATATATACATACACACACACACACACACACACACACAGTGGCTTTTTTAAGATTGGGAACCCCTTGCAGAATCTGTGAAAATGTGAATAATTTTAACAAAATAAGAGAGATCACACAAAATGCCTGTTATTTTTTTTATTTAGTACTGTCCTGAGTAAGATATATTACATAAAAGATGTTTACATTTAGTCCACAAGAAAAAGATAGCTATTAAAATATCCCCATTCAGAAGTTTTTATTTTCTTCAAATTTCTTGTGGACTAAATGTAAACAAATGTTATGTAAAGTATCTTATTCAGGACAGTACTAAATACAAAATAACATGCTTTCTGTATGATCTCTCTTATTTTGTTAAAATTATTCACATTTTCTGCAAGGGGTTCCCAAACTTTCGCATGCCACTGTATATATAACCCATCCCAACTAATTGCAGGACTACCTTTTTGTCCAATTAATGGCAGATGTGGCATGTTAGTGGAATAGAAATTTCACACTTCACATTTAAACATCCTAAAATGTGTTAAATGGAGTACAATACTCGTATCAGTAGCTGGTAAAATAATCAAATTAGCCAAAATATTTCACAAACTGTGAAAGGGAAGGAGATGCACTTAAGGTGCATTTAACAACATGCAAATTAAAATAAAGCAGTTAATGCCATAGATAGGTTATATTAAACATTAAAGTTAAACAAAATGCTTTACCATCACTCTGATTCCCTCCATTGCCCTGTAAGTCATGACCTTCCAGTGATTCACAACCAGTCTGGGAAAATTGTCCCTGCTAACTCTGCCCAGATGGACCGCTGAGCATTTCTGCAGTTGTGCTTATTTAAACTATTACATATATTGAGAATAAAAGCCATACATAATTAGATAAAGGGTTATTACAACATTTGGGGATTATTTTGAATCTGTAGATTAGTTAGAGTATCACATGAGAAGAGTTATTCTAAAATTTGACCCAAATTCCTCTATCTTTTGGAAAGTTCCCATTCTGAACACATCGAGGGCATGTTATCTGATCCTACAAACAAGGTGGAAAGAGAATCGATCTGTTAAAATAAAATGAGGATTATATTGTACAATCCTCATAAGATTCCTGAAAAAAAAAGAGACATTTTCCTCTTCGCTCTATGCTGTTCTGGCCTCTGGGAGCAGAAGTAATGCTTGATGAATTGCCTTTAACATCAAAACGTCCTTGTTATGCGAAACACCTCATGACCCTGGTGACGTCTCTGGAGCTGCGATAGAAAAGCAGTTTTGCTAATCAGCAGGTCAGCATGGAATCTGCTACTGCAGAACTTCACATAAAATTTCGCAGATTTCCCAAAAATGTGTATGTCCATCAAGATATATAAAGCTACGATAGGTGCAATACTGTGAATGGCTAAATGGAGTTATGTAAAATTAGTGCCCTATTGCTTTTATAGAACATTGACTACATAAACATATTAAGGACACAATTCTCCAAAAAAAAAAAAATTATAATAAAATACTATCCTAACAGTCGCTAACATAAAACATTGCTATGCAACAATAATAACAATATGCTATGTATGGAAGCCCGGTTCAGCCACAAGATAATAATAATAATAGTGACTTTATATTTCACAATTATAACTTTTATTCTCGCAATTCTGAGTTTATTTCTAACAATTGGCTTAACTAATTAAAGGACTAGCTGTTTGTCCAATTAATGACAGATGGGGGTAGTGTGGTGTGTTATAAAAAGACTAGACCAGGACCAGTTAAAAATTTAATGTAAAAATTTAACCCAACGGTTGGGTTAGTCCATATTTGACCCAAAGTTGGGTTGAAACAACCCAGCATTTTTTAGAGTGTACCCATACAACCACAGTATTCTCAACTTAATTTAACAAATTTTAGCATGTTTAAATCCATTCAAAATCAGTGCATAATGCCCATAAAGTGTGCAGATTTCACACTGGCCTGCTAATCAGTCTACAATGAGGCTTCAAATCTCTCAAAGCAGCAGAGATTCTGCAGGAGGCTGTTCTTGGCAGATACTGCTATCAGCAGAAATGCTAATGGGATTCACCTCTTACCTATGCAGAGCCAAGAATGTGGCCTCACAGTGGGATAGAGACCTTCTCTTCTTCCCCCGCTACTGTTCCAGAAACTCATCCCCCATCTCATCACCTCTCAATTACTGATGGCAACATTTAAGGAGACATAAAAACATTTTGGAGTTAAGACCTCTCAGACCCACAACAGTGTGAACCCTTAATCATGTTTACATGAAGGAAAATGTAAATGCTCATGAGTTCCAGTATAACCATAAAAATATGACGGGAACCTTGGTTTGGTATATTTTTTATTCAAAAAGAACGTAGATCTTCCTGTGTGTTAACAGCCTTCCATATGTTCCATATGAAACAAAATTGAAAATGGAAAATATATTTCACTTAAACCTCCAAATGATAAAATATATTACATATATTACAACAATGGGAAAGAAAATACATTTTCAATCTAAAAATGCATTTTTGGTAAGTGCAAAATGTATGTATTTATGGACAATATAAATATATTTCGATTGAAAATACATTTAAAAATATAAGTTACTAAAACTTATTTAAAAAATATGTAAATCTATTTTAAAATCTATATTAGCAATATATTTTGGGCCATTTATTAATATTGTAAACGCTGGAATAATTTAAAATGTCAAGACACCGGCCTGCAATCAAAAGTTAGATTTCATCTTTAACTCAAACATTTCTCATTAAAGACCAGTTTATCTGCTCTCAGTCATCTCATTGGTGTCTATTGTTTTATTTATCCAAATGAATTTTAGGAAAAACATCCGACACAAAGTTAATACTTACATGAGAAAAAACTGAGAACACCATTACGTCAATGATAGAAAAACCTCAGAGCAACATGATTTTACTCTGAGAACTGTCTGGGAGGTTTGGGGTGCTCAAAAGTGATATGATAAGAGGCAACATCAGTGACCGCATCCAAAGTTATCAGTAAAGATGAACCCCAGCTGCTGCCATGGCATGCCGTGTCCCAGGGGGCTTCAAATCTCTAAATATTTCTCCTCTACCCTCTGTTTGAGGAAGCGATTTAAGAGACATTGAACAACAGTGTTCTAAAACAGTCACCAAGGAACTCAGGAAACTGGACCCAGATTTTACACTGGATCAAATGTCCAACAAATATATCAATCAAATGTCCAACCCTATACAAAAAAAAAATCCCTACAATAAAATATAAAACTGATTAATATTACCATGAACTATGCAAAATCAATAACATGACACATTAATTAGTATTAGTCATACTACCAAGTTTTGGATGCACAGTCTTTGATGTCAACAGCAAAAGATGTGGGATGCTTTTTCTCCTCCTTTTGCTATCTAGCTAGATTTTTACCAGAATTTAGCATTGTTTTTTCCCTTCTGTCTGCTTTCGGGTACCAGTTAAAAATTTAATGTAAAAATTTAACCCAACGGTTGGGTTAGTCCATATTTGACCCAAAGTTGGGTTGAAACAACCCAGCATTTTTTAGAGTGTACCCATACAACCACAGTATTCTCAACTTAATTTAACAAATTTTAGCATGTTTAAATCCATTCAAAATCAGTGCATAATGCCCATAAAGTGTGCAGATTTCACACTGGCCTGCTAATCAGTCTACAATGAGGCTTCAAATCTCTCAAAGCAGCAGAGATTCTGCAGGAGGCTGTTCTTGGCAGATACTGCTATCAGCAGAAATGCTAATGGGATTCACCTCTTACCTATGCAGAGCCAAGAATGTGGCCTCACAGTGGGATAGAGACCTTCTCTTCTTCCCCCGCTACTGTTCAAGGAGGCAATGCCTCCATCGCGATATGACTGGTTATGCTAGGCTGTGATTGGTTCATACGATAAATCCAGCCTCTTGTGTTCATGAGTTCCGCTGTTGGCAAATCAGTCTGAATGAACAATATAATGTCATTAATGGGAAGACTCATTTAAAAAAAAATAAGTAAACAACTCACACACTTAAATATAATCACTTTGTTACATCAAAATAAGACTTAAAATGGCCTTAAAGGGTTAGTTCACCGCAAAAAAATTCTGTCATTAATTACTCACCCTCATGTCGTTTCAAACCCGTAAGACCTTCGTTCATATTCGGAACACAAATTAAGATATTTTTGATGGAATCTGAGAACTGTCTGACCCTGCATAGACAGCAACGTAGCAA